ATAAACTTTTTTTAAAATCTCAAATTTTGCTAAATGTAACTTTCTCTCTCGGCCAGTACAGGCTGTCCTTGTCGATAGTTTCTGGATTCTCGTCGACACGGTTAGGTAGGTTAGGTAAGAAGTAAGTTAGGTAAGAATTATTATTATTTTCTTTTCTTCTTTACATAAAAGCTTAGAGTAATACTCAAATATTTTGCAGTATTTGAATACGGAATTTGATTATTTATATTTATTGGACAATACCCAAACATTTTGCTGTATTTGAATATGGAATTTGATTATTTATATTTATAGGAATATTTATTTTCAACGTTTTTGTTAGTAAAGTTTGTTTCTTCACTTGCTTGTCCAGCCATATTCGTCCAGGCTAATAAGGATTTTCTCGTGACACTTAATAATCCAGGTAGCTGACAACTTTTTTAGTTATTGTAGACCTATAAGAAGAAAACCTACCTTTTCTGCCGTTTCCTGCGTAAAGTTCGGAGCCGTTTTTTAATGATTAACAATTAATGCAAAAAACGCGATTCTTTCGATTTTTGCACTCTATTATTTATTTATTTATTTTTACGCACAATAGGCCGTTAAGGCCTAAAGCATTTTTTTACAACATAATTCTAATATTAACTAATTACAATTAATTTAAAAAAAACTTTAACGTAAATATGTATATATAACATTCTTAACTACTCTGAAGGACCTGGTGTACAATATTTTTCCATTCGCTTCTATTTTGTGCTTTTTTTTCCATTCCCTCACCTTCACGTGTTTAAGTTCTTCCTCCTCTTTACTAATCCACCTCGTTCTGGGTCTACCTCTTCTTTTGGGTTCGACTAATTTTCTGGTTATTACTAGTTTAGGAATTCTGTTTGCTGCCATTCTTCCCACATGTCCCAACCATCTGATTCTTTGTGCCTTGACGAACTTGGTAATAGTAGGGTCTTTGTATAAAGCCATTAATTCATTGTTGGTTCTTCTTTCCCAACCATCTTTTGCCTTTCGTCCTCTGAATATGCATCTCAATATTTTCCTTTCCCATCTTTCCAGAGTATCCTCTTCCTTCTTATTTAATGTCCAGGCTCACAGGCATATGTTACTGTGGGTCGAATTACTGTTTTATATATTCTGAGTTTACCTTGTCTAGAAACGTATTTTGAGTTCAGTAGGGCTCTTAAACCACCTAATTTTTTATTCCCTTTTGCTATTCTGGCTACGAGCTCCCATTTATCTTTTCCATTTTCATCGAAAACTACACCTAGGTATTCAAATTTGTCCACCCTTTTAAAACTATAGCTTTTACCACTTACTGACCTCATACTAAAGTCTTCTTTTTTCCCTTTTGTTCCTTCTATGATCATATATTTAGTTTTGTCTTCATTTAGTTCCAATCCAAATTTCTGTGCTTCTTCGATGATTTTGTTCACAACTCTTCTTAATTCTTACTCGGTTTTTGCTAGGATCGTTAGATCATCAGCAAATGCCAAGCACTGGTGCTCATTTTTCATGATCGTTTCTTCCATCTTCATGCTGCATTTTCTGATTACAGTTTCTAATACTAATTTGAATAATGTAGTGGATAAAGGATCTCCCAGCCTCAAGCCTTTTGCAACCGTAAATTGATCTGATATGTGATCCTGCCAAGCAGGGTGCTAACAGGTGAAGATGCTAACAGAGTAATGCCTCTATAGTTCTTACAATCCAGTTAATCGTCCTTTTTATGCAACGTATATTATTTCATTTAGCCACTCTTCTGGAACAAATTCATTTTGCCATATAAGTACTATTAGTTTATGGGTTACTGCAAAAAGCTGATCATCACCTTTTTTTATATATTTTCCAACAGATTTAATCGATTCCTGTGGCTTTATTGTCTTTGAGTTTTAGGACGGCATTTGACACTTCTATTATTGTTGGGTGTTCACTGTGTAGTTGTCGATGTAGATTTTGTTGATTGTCTATGTTGTAACCTCTTTTAATATCGTTTATATCATATATTATATAAATATATATATATATATATATATATATATATATATATATATATATATATATAATATGATATAATAATAATGTAATTATTCTTCTTCTTCAAGTTCCACTTCTATCGGAGATTGGAAATCATTCTGGCAATTATCATTTTGTTGGATATGCGCCTGAATAGTTCAGTTAAATTGCATCCAAACCATTCACGGAGATTACGTAACCACTAGATTTTACGTCTTGATGTGTGATGTATGATGTGCCCCAAGTATTCTAATTTCCTGATTTTTATGGAATTTAAAACTTCGCATTGTTTTCCTAGTTGTTCGAGAACTTGTTCGGTTGTTTTGCGATCCGTGACCAAGCTTGAATCCCATATAAAAGGGTAAAGAAAATATAACATCAAAGCATTCTTATCCGGAGCGATATATTGATATCTCGATTACAAAAAAGTTTTCTCGTTCTATTAAAAGTTGACCGTGCAATTCCAATGCGGCATCTTATTTCTTTTGTCCAATCAGTATCTTCTGTGATCCATGCTCCAAGGTATTTGTACAAAGATATTTGTTCAATTTCTGTATTATCTAGTACTAGCTTAACTTTGATGCTTTGTGCTTTTGTAAATACCATGAACTTGGTTTTCTTTAAATTTATTTTTAGTCCAAAAAATGTACCTATAATATGATATAATCCTTATAAAATGTCTTCCGACGTTCATTTTTCATTCAATTCGGTTGTTCCATTGTTCTTTAAGTTCTTTCGAGCTCATTAAGTTTCTTATTCCTTCCATCCGTGTTTTCTAAGGTAATCCTCTCTTCTGGATTACGGTAGGTGTTCATACAGGTACTTGTTTTAGGAGTCTCTTGTCTTTCATTTATTGGACCTGTACCCATTTGAGCTGCTTTCGTTGTATGCCATCCATGACTGTACCTTCTATTCTCATACTTTATTGCATTAAGTTCGACGAGATATCTTTCTTCGATATTAATCTGTCTCTGTTAATCGTCGTGTTTCACAACCGTATAAATAAAGCATGCTTTTTACCACAGTTTCATGGCTTGTAGTACTAGAGAGAGCATGTCAGCTGTGCCAAAACGAAAAATAATCCTCCTTATTGCTTCCACTGGAATAAGCTTGACCATTTAACTGGGCCCGGGCTACCTCTTTCTAATTCTTTAAACTCCTGTTTTGAAATTAATAATTATTTTGTCTAATTACCTATTTAGTTGTCAAAACAGATACATTGTTAACTAAAGAAGTGAAAGTGGTTCAATTTAGAAATTATATAGTAAATAATAAATATTTGAAAACTGATGCACATATTCCTCCCGCGATTTATGCTTCAAGTACTAATTTTATAAATCGCACTTCTACTAATAGACGTAAATTCTTTCATTTTAATTTCATGAATGTTTTTATTCAACATTATTTCAAAACCACACTGAATAGAAGGCCGCCCAGTCGTTTATTGTATAGACCCAAGACTTTACACAATAGGGGGTTGTATAAGGTAGGTATAAAGCTTACCTCTAGTACAAGATGACGTTTAGAATATTCTTCGTGAATGGATTTTGTTTTTGTAAAGAAAGATATTTTTGAAATAGACATCTCTCTGAATTTTACCGTTACAATTATCGAGGATAAGCCTTAATGGAATTACACTTACTTAATTTCAGGTGTTTAATTTATTCCGCTGATACTCGGTCGTCAGAGCCTCGTTTGTGATTCCTGGGTTCACCAACCTGAAGGTGAGGTTGACATTTGCATAGGGAAGGCTATTGACACATCACTATCTCATTAAAACCTCCTTATTAATTTTATTATATCATACCAATTGCTAATTTCCATTGTCACTATCTTTCTCGTTTAATGTTCAATATACACAAATAATATAGTACAAGTACAAGAAAAAGTTAAAAACAATCTAAAAAAAATAAAATTGTTCAGAACTCTATGATCAATGTTTTGTTAAATGTTTTTATAACCCTCACTTTGGGAATCATTTTTTCATCAACTGAAATTTCTTTATTCTGACAGAACCTATAAGATATTTAACAAAAAAATTTATTTTTTAAATGAAACTGAAAATAATGTTTACTTATTTAAAACCATATACATATAATACAAGATAGACTTACAGCTGCAATACAGCCACGTTCCCCCAGTGCAACATTGCATCGTCTGCATAAGAGAGAATTTTAATTTGATTGTTCTCCATTCTGTGTACTCTTTCTTTGTTGACGCTCTTTATAAATTCATTCATGATTAGATCCCGTAAGCGAAATACAAAATTAAATAAATAATTCTCCCACTATATCAGTATGTCCAAGGTCTGGAGAAATAAATGTATGACAACAGAGCGTTGGGTCAAATATACCATATATATATATATATATATATATATAATATATATATATATATATATATATATATATATATATATATATATATATATATATATATATATGATGAAATGACGAAATGAATAAACGGGAGAGAAAACGACGTCGTTTCTGGTGATACCATATGAGTATATTGATGAGAGTAATAGATAAAGATAAAACCACTTAATACCATTTTTAAAAGATGGAGGAGCATCTACATTGCAGGAAAGTGTGTTTCGAAGAATGAACAGACCATAGAGCTAAACGGAGAAGACTCATATTATTTATTTTCTATTATCCTTATTCCAATGACGTTTTCTACTGTAGTGTAAAATCTAAGGATATTCTTTTTTAAATAATTGAATAAATGGCATGCGCGATTTGCATACTATGTTTGTTAAAGGTCCTTTTTATTTGTATTGGAAAATTTTTAAACAGATGTAAAGATGCTGGTTTCGGTCAAAAATTTTACTATAATTTATTTTATTGTAAAAAGAATAAGTAAGCAATATTTTAAGTTTCAGAATTGTAATTAATTAATAATTGAGCAGACAGCACTAATTCAGTTAAATAAGAAAATAAAGAAATTTCAGTATTTTCATAATATATTTTCCACAAATTAATACACGTTATTCATAGGTAAAAGAACTCGTATGGCCACCTATCGGAAGTGAAGAATCGGAGGATATTGTGGATTTCATCGAAAAAGAAGAAATTCAACAAGTACCACCAAAACACATTTCAACAACGTACATAGCAGCAGAAGAAACCAAAGACAATTTTAAAGCAGTTCCCGTTATAGTAGAACCCGTAGAAGCATCTTTATCGCTAGAAACAAGTTTACCTCCAAAATCACCTCTGAACGGATCAGAGATGACAAGTTTAACAAGCGACAGCGATTTGAGTTACGTACACGTTTATGATGTAGAAAATGCAGTAATCACCAAGAAAACAAGAGACCAACCGGTCAAGTCAGAGCCTGAGAAGAATAATCGATTTGTAAAAGGTACTACCACTACGACCAGAAGGTTTACGAACAATCAACCCCTGAAAAGATATAAAAGTGAAACAGATTTGCTCGACGATTCATTTCATAATCCACCTAAAGTACTGGGGAGGAAAAAGGACAATACATTGATTTCAAAAATTTATTTGGACCCTCACGTTAGAAGTTTTGCGTTATCTAATAGGGAACACTTACCTATAAATAATACGGTACCTACTTTTAGAACACAGTTGAGTTCTCCAGGTAAGGAAATGTTTTAACAAAAATACTATATAATTTTCTTTATTGTCTTGTTATATTAGTTGTTTTTTTTTTTCATTTGTTATTTTACCATAGAAGCATTTTTTCCCAATATACCGATTTTGGAATAGTGATATTTTGTCAATATTATTTTTATCAATAATCATTAAAATGAGACTTTCCATAACTCTCCAGAATATGAACTAAGAGACTTATGATAAAAATACGGTCATTTTCTATCGACGTAACAATTTAAATTCTATTTTGTAAATTAAATCCATTAATCCATTTTAAATTTGCTTTACTAATGTGATCCGAAAGTTTAAATAATTTAAAATAATTATTTTGAAAACACTATGTTTACAGTAAAAGACATATTTTTGACATTTTTAAAAATAGCATAAAAAAACTAAAATTGGCTATATAACAGTTTTTGTTATGTAGCAAATGTTATGTGTCTGCAATGGTTTGGACCTATTTTGAAAAAGTTGGTATTTTTAAAAATGTGTAAAGTATTTTTTAATTTAAACATATTTTTTTCCAAATAAATTCAACTCATTAACACAAAAAAATTAAAAAATAAATGGATTTTAATAAAGTTCAGAACGTTTTTGGACTAATCAGTCCATCTTCAGTGAACATAAAAAGCAAGTAATCCCTCTCAATTAAAAAAACGTTAAGGTAAAATTTTTACAGTTAAATGCAAAAATGTGGTTTAGATTACTTACTTTTGGAGTACTTAAGTAACTTACCGCAAAACCAAACAGCGGTTGGGTTTATATTGAAGAAAACATACTTAAAAGTATTAAATTATTCGGCAATATGCCAATGTAATTGGCATTCACTAAATGCGAATTACATTGGCATATCATGCCATGGCATGTACATGGCATTTACTGCCAAATAGTACACTGCCAATTACATCGCAGTAAATCACTAACCGGGAACCATCTCGAAGTCCCTACTTGAAGTAAAATTTCTACATCTGACCTTTCATACAAGAATTTGCCAACTGACTTGAGATGCGTTATTAATAATATTGACTATTTCAATTACAATTACATTCGAGACAAGATTAATGGTTCGTTTTTAAAAAATAATCCACGTCAAGGACCCATCTGTTGATATCTATATTATTATTTTGTTAAATTAATTTATTAAAATTGAAGACAGTAGTTATTATTATTTTTATTTTATGAATTGACTATGAGTATACCCTGAATTCAATAGGATTGTCAGGGCAGATATTTTGTAGTTTGTAAACACTCTATAGTAAGCGCCTATATATTTATTTATTTATTAGCACACAAATTTACTTCTCAATTATCATTTTTGCCTCTGCTATAAGTCTGAACTAGATATAGAATACGCGCCTTGTTGCGAAATTTATTACTTCGTACCGCGTGCAGCTTATAAGGGTCGTTGAGGTATACCTGAAAGTCAAGAGAGAAACAGGCGGACATTGTTACCCTTTTCGAAAGTAATATTCTTATTTCAATGCGGCAACGTTGTTAAAACTCGCTGACAAATAGTGAAAATAAATATTAAAATCAGGTAGTCAGAAGTATTAACATGAGCGTCTGTCGGGTAACATAGCAACATGACCATAATCAATACCCACATGAAGTACATATGTTAATAAATCAGATAAAAAGAGGTGGTTATCTGTGAAAAAAAAAACAAATGATTAAATCGGTTAATGAGGGATTACGTAGAAGACGATATGTTTATAGAGGACTTCGCGGCATTGTATTGTGATTTAAATAAAATATCGGCTCGTACCGTTTTTCGAATAATTCAAGTTAAAAAACCACTTCAAAAACCTATTCATAAAAGACATACAGAAATTGTATTGGATAATATTACGAAAAGTATAATCCGAAGAACAGTTCATGGATTTTATTTTAGGAACGAAATGTCCACGTTAAAGGCTATTTAACGAGAAATTAATGCAAACGCAGATGATACTTTAAATAAAATATATACGGGTATTACAAAAAGAGGATTCCGTGAAATGGATTTTCGGTATGTAAAGAGAAAAGTCAGGCTTTTAATGGGGACTTTCAACCAGCTTAAAAGCACCTTCGGATAAAGGAAGACCCGTCATTATTACGCACATATTAAGTAATTCAGGTTTCTTACAAGTTGGTTTAAATGCCTTTACCTATATCAAAATGGGCGATTATCATGAGGATATGAATTCGGATGTGTTTGAAAAATGGTTTTCCTCTATACTTACTCTTGTAGAACCTGAATCGGTAATTATAATAAACAATGCACCTTATCACAGCCGTATTATGGAAAAAATACCGACTTCTGCATTTCGAAAGGCAGATATAGTAGATTGGCTAGGAAGCAATAACATAGAATTTGATGAATCCATGATAAAAGTTCAATTACTTGATGTAGTACGCAAAAATTAGACTTTCTACATCAGATTTGCAGTAGATGAAATAGCACATGAGCATAACATCACCGTATTAAAAACCCCTCCGTATCATTGTGAATTGAATCATATTGAGCTGATATGGGCACATAAAAAAAAACATAATCTTCAAATTAAAAGATGTCAAATTATTATTAGAACAAACCATATAACCACTTCCAACTGACAGTCATGCATTAAACGTGCACAGAAAGAAAAAGATAAAATGTGGCACGTAGACACGCGTGTTGATGTTCGTATTGAGCATCTTGTTATTACTCCAGGAGAAGACAGTAGTGATGGTGAATTAACATCTGGAAGTGGATCAGCATAAACAGATTTATTTAAATAATAACTAATATAGTTCTAATGAATTTGTTTTTTGTTGCTGTTGATGTTTTACCATTCAAGAAGTACCTGTCGGGTCCGTCGTCCTACGAGGTTATAATATTGTAAGTACTTACCTAATAACTTTATTATTATGGCAAGTTTGTTTCTCAAAATTAAGGTTAACATTAGGCTGCCGGGTCTATTATTATTTTCTGTAAAGCAGTTGGTATTTATATTCGAATATGAATTTTATTTTAAAAATATCGATAAATACATAAGATCATTATTCCAATATCAGTACGTTTAAAGAAATCTAATGTAAAAGGTTTCTTTCGAATTAGTCCTCACAATGCTTTCCTTTATTTTAAAAATGTACACGCCACCATTGAACTACACTCGTCTCTCGTTTCGTGCCCCTCAAGTCTCAATCATTTTAAAACGATACCCTGACAATCCTATTGAATTTGGACTATAGGTAAACTATGTGTTGATAAGGGAAAGGAAGTGAATTAAGAATAAGATAAACGGTTGAATAATAAAATATGGAAGAAAAGAGATTTATCTTATAGACCAATGGTGGGAGATTTATAATTAATTGTGTAAATAAATTAAAATTAGAGATAAATAAAGTAATTACCTATTAAAAATGAGGAATTTTTAAAATGTCAACTATTTAAGAATACAATACACTAAATAGTCAATTGGATTTTTAAAATAAAGAAAATAATCACATTTTCAAAATTTCAAAACTGATTTTAAAAGTACATTATTTTTAACAGTTTGACAAATATTATTAACAGTAGATACATTTGGTTTTAACACTACTGCAACACACTAAAATACATAAGAAAACATTTTAATACACCATTATATGTTCTCAATTTTAAACTTACCTCTTTTAGAACATTAACAGTAAAACGTCCCGCCATTATTTCTTGTTCAAAATAATCTATTAAAGCTTACCAGCTTTCTACAGACTTAAGTTGTTTTTGGCATAGCACAATCACAATACACAACAATAATTAGTTTTTAAAGTTATTAAGTGTAAATAAATATGATGTGTGAGAAACCAAATTGAACCCAAATTGTGTGAGAAATCATAACATAAACCAAATTCTTACTTTAAAAAAGCGCCACACTTTAAACAATTTCCCGCCAGAAAGTATTCCCGTATCAGTGGCGTACGATTATCTAATTTATTTAATTAAAATTATTATTTTATGGAATATTAAACTTAAACAGTTATTTTATAAAATTTATATTATTAATAATAACAAATGTTTTTCGGTATTTAATCAATATAATTCTAAAATTCCCAATATAATTATGATTACATTTTTCTGATTATTATTCCATGTTGACGCCTAGAAATATCGTGCCTGTATGGGTGGTATTAGCAGCTGTGTTAGGGAAATATGAAATCTAAGGTTGATGTTCTGGAAATTTTAAATACAAGTGACGTCACTTTGTATAAATCGTGACGTGCAACGTTTTTACTTTGAAAAATGGTATATCCCATAACGTACTCTTTCTGTCCTTTTCTAATATCAGCTTTAAATACTTATTTAAATATTTAATTTATCAAACTTATAACATAGATATCAACAGATGGGTCCTTGACCTGGTTTAGTTTTTAAAAACGAACTAGTAATCTTATCCCGAATGTCATTGTAATTGAAAAGTCGGTTTTTATTTCCGTCATCTCAGGTCAGTTGGCAAACTCCTGTACGAAAGATCGGATGTAGAAATTTTACTTTGAGTAGGGACTTATGGTTCCCGGTTAGTGATCCAACTACATCGACATTTCCGCAAGTACTCCAAAAATAAGTGATCTAAACCACATTTTTGCATTTAACACTAAAAATTTTACCTTACGTTTTTCTTAACTGAATGGGATTACTTGCTTTTTAGGTTCACTGAAGATTGGGACTGATCAGTCGGAAATCGTTCTGAACTTTATTCTAAAAATCATTTGGATTTTTTAATCTAATAACCACTTACAGACGTTTTTTACTTCGGTTTTTGAGTTTTTTACAATGGTTTACGTTTAATTTCAATTCTGATAAAAACGCAAGGATAATATTCTAGGATCCAATGAAAAAAATAGAAGACGATTTTATTTTGTCATAACTCCCTTAATTAATATGCTAGATAGTTCTACGCAGGCTCATTTTTAATGATTTTTTTAAGTATTTTTTTTTTAAATATATTACAAATTTTTCCCAGTAAAATTGACCGTTTTTCTCTTATTCTATGTTGAGATTTTAAGATTTTATGGTTAAATGCAGAACTGCCACCTTCAATGAATTATAAAGTGGTTTATTTTAGGCTTATAGCAAAAACAAAAAATAATCTCTATGATTTTCTCTTTGATTAAAAAATAAAATAAATCGATAAAATGTAAAAAGTTATTCGTGAAAAATCGATTGAAAACATTAGAAAAATTAAAATTTTCAAGAACAAAAAGTCTAAAGTAGGTTGTCTTTTCGCGAAAAAAAATTCAATATAAACGTTCCAACTCCCCAGTTGGGATAGATTCCTCCCCCAAAGTAACAGCACACTTTGACATAGGATGCTGCTTATTAATGTATTATATACTTCTTGTAACATTTCAAGATAATCGATGCATTTTGATGAAATTCAGAGTAAAAAACCTTGGTACACTGCACTAGGTCCAGAATCAGGACTCTCGTCCGGAAACGATTAAAAAAACATAGTTGAAATACTATTCATGCTATTCAAAATATTTATGTGTTCAAATCGGAATATTTTTCAAGTCAAATTCTTGATTTTTCGCATACCTTTACTTTTCTTATGATTCTAAAAGATACTTTTAGTTCTATAAGGACATCAAACAATATAAGATCTAGACTAGGAGCTATTCCCTTTGTTCTTTCTTTTTATCTATATTATCTAATCTTATAGTGCTAAATATATTTCGTATATATTTTTTACTTGAACGTCTTTTTAGTTCATCTAAAGTTCCTTTTATATACTTACTTATTTTTCTTTAATTTCCTAAAAATTTAATATTACTTTATTAACTTACAGAGATGGTTCTGGATCACAAAGCTTACCATTCTGACGATGGACTAAGCTTAAGGCACAGCAAAAGGTACTTCAGTTCACAGGAAGATTTACTCAGCTCAAATTCTATTGAAGTTCACAACGGAACAATGACTCACACTGCGAAAATGTCATTTAGCTCAGAAGATGAACAATTTTCAGAAAAGAGTCCAATTTTTAGCACAGCACCAGTAAATAGACGGGTAAAGTAATTTTATTTGTTAGAAGTAAATGTGTCTTAAAGAGGAGAAATATGTTAAATATTGTTTTATTTTGGTATTTTGTATTCTTTTCTTTTGAAAATAAATTAATTTAATTTATATATATTAATATTATGAAAGGCGTTTAGAAAAATAACGTTTTGATTATCAAATTCTTCTCAGGCTTCTTTAACGGACATTGATGTTATAATTATTACTTCTAATTTACTTAAAAAACGTTCAAAATTTTAGGTCAGCACATTGACGCATTATTACATCCGTATTACAGATTACACAATCAATAATTGATCTAATATATATTGTGGGCCGTGTTCATGTTTATTTTATAGGATCTTTATGAAGATCTAATTCCATTCATTAATTTTAATGATAGCTCTATAATGTTTAATCGTCTCGCTTTCCCACTCACGCATTTAGATCTCCTAAAATGCACAGTGCCTGTTACCAATTCCTTCTTAACAATTGTATTGCTTTTCATCTGTAAATCCTTGTATAGCTACCGAATTTATCGTCCCCTATGCCTTTTTTTTTGTTTCTGTTTTTACATGGATATCAATTTTCTTACTCTAGAGTTATGTTCACAATTCTTATTCATCTTGTATGTTTCATTTCGCTATTTTCAGAATCCTCTTCCGTTTTAATTTTCATCGTCGTTTTAATATATCCTATGTTCGAGGTAAGATATCGAAATGTTTGGCCACATGTTTTCTTAATGCCACGATCCTGATCTTTTGTTGTTTTTAACAACCTTACTGTATAACCTTGAGATCAAGTTAGTAACGTTTACTCCTCTGTAGCTGAAGTATTACTCTGCGATACGCATCACACATATATGCAATTTGTTTTAAAATTTTTGCCTTTCAGAACACAATTAAAAACATAATATTCTTAATAATTATTGATGAAAGAAATGAATTTTTAATTAACTGGACGATTTTCATTTATCTTGTTATCTGTACATCTCTTAGAATTTTTTATATGAAATTTAATGAATTGGATTGATTAAATTGATAGATAAATTGCGGTGTCTGTTCTGTTGGTCTTCCGTCAACCACAAATGCTTGGCTACTGTTAAACATGTTTTTTTTATCGTAGGACATGATCTTGTTTATTCTATCATCCCAGCTCATGTAGTATTGATGTGCTACTGTCATACCACTTTTTCGGAGGTCTATCTAAATAGTGGTCTTTTGTATTATGATAATGCATTTTTGCTCATTTCGCAATTTTACGGAGTCCGTATCTATCCATCTAGTCCATTATGCTCGTATCTATCTCACCCCATTCTGGATTCCCGTTTTTAATATATTATTACGTTTTTCTGGGGGTTCAGAGATTAATTGAATCACAACGTTGTTTAACTAACTTTATTTAACTCCAAAAGGTCACTTAATTACAAATTATAATTATATTAATAATATTCGCTTATAATTTGCACTAATATCGTTTACAAAGCAATTCGCTGTCGAAGAGGTGGATTCATTTTCAAGAATTATTCGGAGGCATAGTTTTTTTTGTTTTTGCAATTCTCATCAATCTTTTGTAAGCGACGTTACAGCTCTTGTTTCCACTGCGTATGTTATTACTGGCCTTACACATGCATTATATATCCGGATTTTATTCTCTACGTTAATATATTTGTTCCTCCATCGGATGTTCATTTTCAAAAAAGATAACCCATTTTAAAAAATTTTGCGAAAATGTATGACCAACAAGTTGTGTTGAGTTCATCATCATCATTCAGCTTTCTGCGTCCAAAGTTATAAAAATTATATGCCCTCCCTAATTTCTTCCAATTCTGTCGGTTCTGTCGTTCTTGAACTTTCTGCAGCCAATTCCCAGCGATTCTTTTAACGTCGTCTGTCCATCCTGTATATGCTCTACCTCTGCTTCTTCTATTAGCTCGTGGTCTCCACACTATAAGTTTTTGGGTCCACCACCAAACTTTCGCTCTGGCTACATGGCTAGAGCGAAAGCTACTTCAGCCATGCTATACGCTCTACGACATCTATTATACCTGTGCTTCTTCAAATTTCTTCGTTTCAGACTATGTCTGTGAGAGTCAGTCCAAGTAGCGAGCTTTCCATTCCTCTTTAGGCACCCTGAGTTCGGTTACTGTAGCCTGAATTAAGGAATTTGTTTCGGCGCCTAAGTCTTGACTGGAAGCACACATTGATGATAGGTTATTTTGTTCAAAATTATGTTTAAATTTTGAAAGACATTGGAACAACAACTTGTTGCTTATACGTTTTCGCAGAAGTTTTAAGATAATAGTGTTTGGAAAACAAGTTCAGGAATGGAAATCGAAACGTCAAACATTAGTTAGTTCAGAAAATGTAATTTTTATAACAATCAATTGTGGCTTAGTTTCATATAAACATCATATTTAACTTAGACATGGTACAAGAAAAGAGTTTGAGAACTTTTTCATACTTGGCTTAATATATATCGCACCCTCAATGCAAGACTGCAGTAACTCAAAATTTTATGAAAATGAAGTAATCATGGAATTCGATTGTAAACATGCATATCTATCTCCTGTAAAACTTTAGTAACTTTCAAATGCTTAACCGGCTAAATATTACAACAACAACAGTTTAACTATTTTACGTTTTTGTACATAAGTTCCGTGCAAAACTGTTGTAACTCTAATGTAACACGAGTTCCAACAGTTTTGCACTCAACATTGCAATGGTTTTGATAGCAATGTATAATGTTTTGTACATTAAAAAATAATTAAAAATGAGCTAAACAGTTTTCCTGGCTAATCCTTCTCTTAATTGGTAGAATTTTATTTGTTTCCCTTCGTTAATTATTGTATTATTATTTGTGATATATTTCATGTCAGTATTGTAAAAATACCCATTTAATACTATAATAAGATATATTTTTTACAGGTATATAGTTCAAGCGAAGATTTACTTTCTGCTGATGAGACTGATTCTTCAAAGAAAAGGGACAACACACTCATATCAAAAATTTATCAACAACCTCATGTTCGGCAGTACGCTCTGACTGCCAGGCCATTTATACCAGTAAAAGAAGAAAAACGAATCGAAAAATCTATTAGTTCGGAAGATGAAGTGTTTATAGAGATCACAAAAGCTCCCAAAGTTAGTTCTCCGAAAGTTTTGACAGACGTTGATACGCAGTTCGAAACGATGAATATTAAAGAAAAGGAACCTGCTACAAACGAACATGATAGTAAGTTGATATGAAACAATAAAAAAGCAATGTATAGGATATAGTAAGTAGATAGTTAAAAAATATATTGTAAGATAACGTTTAAGAACTGAAGGTCAATAGATGCCTAAGTATTAGAAGTATGGCTTCCAAAAACTTGGATATATCCCTCCATTTTTTTGGTCCCTTACTTTTTCTCTTCAATCACTCACACCTATTTCTGACCAGTCTTGTTTTACTGCTTCCAACCATTTCTTCTGTGGTCGTTATCTTCTTTTTCCCTAGTCCTCCCTTTTTCAGTATAATCTTAACATTTCGGTTCTCTAGCATTCGTATAATGTGACCAAGCCACCTAGCTTTTTGGGCTCGTATTTTTACCGTAATTATTGGTTTTCCGTACATTCTCGTTATTTCTTTATATTTTCGTCTTCTCCAAATATTTTCTGCCCTCTTTATTCCTCCAAAGATTTTTCTGAGCTTCGTTCTTTCCCAGATCCCTACTTCCTTTTTTTCCTGCTGGTTCTTAATCCACGTTTTGCTGCCATACATCACTGTGGGTCTGGTGACTGTCTCGTAAACTCGCAGTTTAGCTGTTCTTGAAACATTTTTTTGCGCTCAGTATTAAATTTAGTGACTCCACCGCTCTGCTTCCCTTCATTAGTCTTTTGTCTACCTCTTTTCCTTCTTTTTCCATGTACTTTTTGCTTACAAATAATTATTAAAATTCTGACTTCTTCTTCTTAACGTGCCCTATCAAGTCCCCTTGACGTTGGCGATTAACATGGCGAAACTGTCACTGTCTCGACTGAAAATTCTGACACTTTTTCAAAACTACTACTCCTTCAATTTTGATATATTTGCTATTATTTTTTGTATGTCTTTTTGGATGTCATTTTGATATATTTTTGTTTGGTTTATTCTTAGTCCATATCTTTTAGCTTCTTCTCCAAATTTCTGGAAAACTTTTTTTAGATGTATTTTTTTATTCTATCTAGTATCACCGCATCATTCGCATACGCCATGCACTGAAAATAGTCCTGTTTGTGTTAATAGTTAATATTTTTTCTTTTAAACTTATTATACCCTATGTTGATCTGTCTTACTGTTTGTCTATTATTTATGTAGATGTGATCTTTATGGTACTTTAACTTATTTATTTATTATATTTAACTTTTTTTATTTATTATCTCAATTTTATTCGTAAATGTTTCTGTTTTTATGGTGAGGACTGTTTGACTTATTTTTGTTACATTCCTGTTTTATTTGTGCCTGTAGTTCTTGTTGTATGAATATTTCCATGCTTTCTTTTAGTTTCTTACCATCATTCGTTTCTACTTTTACACCCGATATAATTAAACTTTTCGTTTTACTTGTTTTCTCCAGTTATTCCATTCTGTCTTATAATTGTTTTACGTTATTTTTTAATTTTTTGTTTTCTTCTTTATCTTTTTTAGTTGTTTATTACTTTTCATTTGTTTTTTCCTTATTTGCTTTATTTTATTCACCATTTCTTCATTTTTATCCATTAATTGTTGCATCGTCTTAATTATGATATCCGTTTTCTCTTTCTTTCTCTTCGTGCCACTTTTAGGTGTTCGCTTTGTTATTTTACTTCTTCTAAAATATTCATCCAGGTCTCTTCTTTTGCATTTCGTTTATTTATCTGTATTTACTTTCTGTTCCTTTGCTACTTCTATTAATTTTCCTATTTTAATAAAACTTTTAAATTTCAATGTAAATTATTACTTATTATTTTAATTTAATTTAAATCTAACTTAAATCTTATTTATTCCAAGGGCCGATTTGCATTTTTGTGATAAAATCTTGTGGCTTTTATTTTAATACTTAATTTCTTGTCGGCACTAATTAAGTTCTTAACTACCAAAAAACGCGTAGGAATGCCTAAACGGGTCCCTCGAAATTAAAGTAGTTGCCAAAACGTGCTTTTGAAGCTCTCACAGAATTAATTATTTACCCAAAACTTTAAAATTGTTAAAATAGTTCTCTCTTACTTGTCTGACGTTATTTCATTTAGGCCGACCGCACATGAAGCTACTAAAAAGAAACCAGTTGGTAATTTTAGTTATCAATCAGTTGGTTATTAGTTACTGTCCATGTATTTTAATGAGTATCCGCACACAGCGCTACTAGTTAGTAACCGGTCTCTAATGCATCAGTGATCAGTCGACAGCAGACTGGACGTGCAGGTCGCTTGGTGACTAGTTCCTAGTTTGTTGTAATATTTTTAAGTTTACATGCGAAATGGCGAAATTGGTAGAACAGTCGTTTAATATAAAATTAGTGCAAGAAGTGGAAAAACATCCCTGCCTATACAACAAAGGCTCTACAATTTATATTGTTTGCAATGTGGGGATGAACCCAATACCTCCTTTTTTTCTGCATTTTACGTCTTACGTCTTCTATTATAGTTATAAAGAATAATATCCTCATCACTTGAGTCACTAGACATTTTTAACGCGATAATAACACGCAATAATATAATATAAAGGTTAAAATTTAAACACCCTATAACAAAGCTACTCGTACAGGCAAGAAGTGACTAGTTTCTATTAATTTTCAGTAGCGTAGTGTGCGAGTCACAGTTAAGTAAACACTCAGTAATTCTAGTTACCAACTAGTTTAGTTTCTTTTTAGTAGCTTCTTGTGCGGACGGCCTTATTCACCACTTTTACACGTATGCAATTACTTTTAAGCACTTATTTTTGAACTCTGTTCTTCTAACTTGTAATTAACCAATTATTTAAAGTTTATTACAAAGCGAAAATCAACTGAACCACTGTTGCATTTTATATAAGGCCAGAAAATTTACTTGGGCTACTGGGAGATGTAACTGGCTAAGTGCCACCACTCTTTAATATTTGATATGCGCATTATCTAGAACCCTAGTGCCATCAACGTATGCTGTCTAAAACATTTGTTGGCAATTAATAACACTAGCCACCTTCCATGACTTCTGTCACCGAAACTTTGCTAACCCACCCCCTTCTTTCTCGTTCGGGCTTGGGCCCGGCAATGGCGGTGTTGCATTATAGTTTGGGTTATTCAATCAACGATTATAGTCTCATATTTCCGTATTTCTCTTGTGAATATGTTTTTCCTGTCTTTTAAGCCCCTTATAAAATACGAGGATAAATTGCTTGAATTTTCCATTATTGCATGACTCTATTTGCAAGTTTTTGTTTTCAGCTTGCTTTCAGCTTTGAACCAAGCAATGTTTCTCTAAAACACATCTTTTTCTCGTATGTAATTTCCCTATGTGTTTTATATTCTTACCTGCATCCCATTTCCGTCAAATTGTGGGCTCAGGCTCTTTGTCTAAGGTAGTTATTAGCTAATTGATATGCGGCTTGATCGATTTGCCATTTGTTCATTATTCAGAAGATGCGTTCTATATCTCTCCACTTTTCCAACTCTCATGCTATTTGCACATGATATTTTTGTGCGTATTTTTGTTCCTACCAAACTGGTCTGAGTCAGCGATAGCACTGTACACTGTACACCTAGTCAGTTTAAAAAATGTCCATTATCTATGAGCACTTGTCCATCTTCGTTGTGTAAATACACATGTCCATAAAACTGGTGTTCTTCATTTTGATCCATTTCTTCCAGCGGTTCATGTACATTAAGTATAGTCACATTGAAGAATTTTGACTTGACTCAGAACACTTATGTGGCCGATTGATTGGAAGTCAAGAACTGTTTGCCGTGCTGTACGTTGGACTATAAAAGCAGTTCCAAATTTATGTTTTGTTAGTTTGACAGCTGTAGTAAATATTTTCTTATATTTCTTATTTATATTTTCTTATATATAGTAAATATTTCTTTTTATGTGTGTAATATTGTGTAATATTTTTAGACCTTTCCACCGCACTGGTTTATTGTCTAACTATCGTCTTTACATTATGTAATAAATGACGTGGCATTAACATTTAGTAAAAGAGCATTGTATTTTTTTTTTATTTAAGATTTAAGTCAAACTGGCAAAAAATGTATGTTCTTGAAAAACTTGATAGTGTGAAAAATTTGTTATTAAAAATCAGCTGAGTACTTTCGGCATGTAACATACATCTTTAGAGCTTCATCGTATAGGTTACAAATACCTATTGGAAGAGTGATTGTCGACACAAAACATATTTAAAACATTAGAAGGCTGAAATGTATAAGGATGAAAATCCTTTTAAAGTTGTAAAAATCACATTTAAAAGATGCTTGGTATACCAGTGGCTGTCTTGTTGAAACGTGTGAAATCAGCTGTAGATACTCTGACTTCCCTCTGTACTCATAATTATACATGTGATTCTTACAACTTTAAAAGGATTTTTGATCCTTATAATCGAGCCGTTGGCCTTCTTTTTTAATGTGTTTTGTGCCGACAATAACTTTTTCATGAGGTATTTGAAACCTATAAGTCGAAGCTTTGAAGATGTTCCATGCTGAAAGTACTCAGCTAATTTTAATACCAAATTTTGCACACTATTAAGTTTTTTGGGAACATACATCTATTACCAATCTGACCTATAATTTGTACAAGTCATACAGTCCTTTTCCAATTTTTTATATAAGCCACGAAATATAACTTGCACCAATTCTGTTATTGATTTTGTCTTAGGTTTTCAAACATGACCAACATGTTTTATTATTTGAAACTTAAGTAATTTATTAATTAATTCCATTTTTAGATGAAAATGATCCAGGTGTTGAAGAAATAGCTAGAAAAAAAATTGTGCACAACTTTCTACAAAAATATTCCACTTCAAGTACAAACCTGAAAATAGCAGATAGTAGGGAAGATATAAATAACGAAGAGGATATTACTATTTCTGTGAAAGATTTAAGAAAGAGGTTCGAAAAAAATCAGGTAATTCATTTTTAAATACTATAAACTCAACTAATACATATATTAGTTTTGTTTTTACCTTTTTGAGCATTTGCTCGAAGTATAAAGTAAAAGCAAAAGGAAAATCCTTCCACGCAAAAGATAGAATGAAAAAGAATTTGCTTAGTTTTTAATAAATAATGATTTTCTTTTGCTCCATAGTAACTGCTGCGTTTTATAAACCGTTTGCTTTAGTTTTTGCTATAAGTCTAGACAGAAATAACTATGATTTTTAATTGGATATGAGTGATATCAATAGTGATAAAGAGTAATAGTGATAAAGAGACTGTAACAGTAACTGTAACACAAAATAATAGTGATAAAGAGTAATAGTGATAAAGAGACTGTAACAGTAACTGTAAAACAAAGGAGAATGCGTTAAATAAAGTTACCAGCGGAATTGTAGACGGCTAGCGGAAAAATCATAACTATAAAGCAATTATCTAAGAAAGTCAATAATATGAAAATAAAAAGAAAACAAAAATCAGATATAAATGAAACCTGCAATAACAAATAAAGCTGAAGTCATGGGCACAGCCATTTGAATGGTGACTGAAACTCGACCATGTGCAAAATTCAAGTTAAGAATCAAATATTTATTTGATTACAGTTTATTGAACTAAAACTGATTAAAGTGTAATTAGATGTTGTGAAATTTTTATAGATCACTACACGATAAATGTTATTAGGATGGCGTGCCATCATCGATAGAGACTGCTGTTTTGGAGGACACATGTTTTAACTCTCAACGGCTCAATTGCAAAGATTAGTTTTGTTAGTTTGATGTGAACCAGATGTAAAATAGAAATTGATGGCATTAGTACTGAACAAGTAATGGAAAAAATACCTTGGAATTACACTGTCCATGTATGTCCACTGTATGGAGACCTGGACAAAGAACTGAGAGATCAGATACAAAAAGCAAATAGAACTTAATAACATTATATTGCGAAACAGACACGTTAACACAGATGAAGTCAAGAATTTATAAAGCCAGTGTAAGATGAATAATGACTTATGCATCAGACACAAGACCCGACACAGCCACAACACAAAGGCTACTGGAAACGGCAGAGATAAGAGTACTGAGAAGAATTACAGGAATTACGCCGAGATATCGAAAGAGAAGTGAATACAGTAGAAGAAAATGTAATGTACATTGTATAAACAGAAGGGGGGAGACCATGTCGTCAAATAGCAAAGATAAGTCACTAATCGGCAGAAGAACTATCGGACTACAGCACAAAAGATTGGGTGACAACCTTCCATAGAGGTATTAATTCACCAATGAACAAGCAGAATTGAATAACCATAATTAATCATCTATTCCCATCCTTCATCTACTGGAAGTAAAGCTACTTGTGTATTGCGATGCATAACGAAACAAATGGCACTTTCCAGATTTTACCGTCATCATTAGAACCGGGCCATTGTAGTAAATTAACAAAAAATTTATTAATACATTTTTTAATAAGTAATTAAAATACCACAGTTTTAAATTTGTCCTATGTATCGACATTGCTTGGACATTAATTCTAGGAATACCTTTGCGGTTTATATATTCATCTCCAAATTGGGAAAATGTTAACTTGATCGGTAGATTTGCTTTCTGTCAGGTTTTTCCGTTTCGGATGTTGGCGATCATCATGACAATCTGTACTTTGCATACTGCCGCTTTGAAAAGATTTGAGATTGTTGTGTGGAACCAAGTACGTAGATTTTTCAACCAAGAATTCCTTTGCCTTCCTGTCCCTCGTTTTCCTTCTAGTTTTCCCTGTAAATTAAAATTAAGTGCAGCAACCCACATTTTTCGCTGTTCCTCATGATGTAACCGAGGTATTCAATTTTGGCTGTATTTATTGTAGTTAACAGCTCTTTTATTCTTAATAAAACATTCTTATTATGAACGTAGTCGGTATAAGATATAACGTGAATTTCAATTATTTCTCCTACATTGTTTTGGTAAGTCGGATTAGCTACATAACGCAAATATATTTTCATTTTATGGAACGGTGATAATGCACCACCTTGTTTCTCATTATTCTCATCACCAAAGAAATGGTTGGCTAACAAATGATTCCTCCTGTACACACTTATCATCCTGAGTCTAAAATAAAATTGATACCGCTAGACACATGGAGACTATAATTTATGGTTCTAGTGCAAACTGAAAGTGGAAAAAGAAATGGTAGGCCAAGACAATCAAATGAACAATAAACTAATTTAAGCCATATAAATTACCTAGTTCAGGCGGGATTTTTGCAGCATTTTTAGAGAAGGTAAATGACTTTATGTGTAAAAAGTTATGTATGACACTACAGACCAGTTTAGGACTGGGATACATACTAAAAGCGTAGTGGCCCATAAGAGAAGCTCGTATGCCCAAACATGGCAAAACAGGACTCTGACCAGACAATATTTAAAGACAAAATCCGATACGGCAGAGACAATATGCATATACAGCAGGATTCTCTACGAAAACGGCTCTAAACCATCTCGTACAGAGGGTGAACTAAGTTCTGAACAGGAAATCAAAGTGGTAATGCTGGGCCCATTTCCCGGTCGACAACAACTACGAAGCAATCACAAGAGCGATCTAAAAGGAACAGACGAAACTAGCTATACAGGGATAGGCAGCATGCTGAGGAGCAGTGTGAAATACGCAACGGTATACAGGGAGATATAATGCAACCATCAAGGGCAAAAGGAATCACCAGTGCAAAACCCTAAACTCATGCATAATACAGATTGAACCAAATTAAAACGGAACATACAATTTAATACATGTCTGTTTGAACTGCATTTGAAATAGTAGACCAATATAAAACTTGGACAAAAATAAATCCATACCTGGGTATAGACATTGTATAAAATATCGTTCAACTATCTGTCTCACAACAATGTTGTTTGCGTAAGACGGGTTTGTCTAAGGAAACGATAATAGTTCAGGAAATGAATCTCGAAAAAAGTTAAAACCTCGCATTTTTTTCGTCCTGCATGTATCCAGTTGAAATTTTAACAGAAGGTAGGTGATAGCCCAAGGATCAAAATCTATATCGAACCGAAGTGCGCTGAAGGGTTTTAGGGGTGAAAACTACCCCTAATTGTCAAAAATTATAAAATAACATATTAAACCTGAATATGGGTTAGATTTGGTTTGAATTAGTTAAATAATGATTATTTTATACTTTGAATAGAGTTCCATCATATTTCAACCCTTAAAAAAGCAACCCTTGTTAGAGGTTTATGTAAAAAAATTACTAATTCTAAAAAAATGATTTCGCCTTTAATCGATTTGGATAAAAATTTGGATTTAAGCTCAATTCACCCGCTGCTTTATAGTTTATGTCATGTCGACGAACCCTGATTGTTCTAAGGGGTGAAAACTACCCGTAATTGTCAAAAATTATAAAATAACATATTAAACCTGAATATGGGTAAAATTTGGTTTAAATTAATTAAATAATGATAGTTTCGTGCTTTTGAATAAAGTTCCATCATATTTCAACCCTTAAAAAGCGACCCTTATTAGAGATTAATATAAAAAAATTAGTAATGCGAAGAAAATGATTTCACCTTGAAACGATTTGCATAAAAATTTGGACTTAAGCTCAACATACCCTCTGCTTTATAGTTTATGTCATGCCGATGAACCCTGATTGTTCTTAGGGATGAAAACTACCTCAATTGTTATGAGTGCTATAGGTGAAAACAATTTTTTGCCAAAATTTTGCAACTTTTCAACTTTTGAAAATCACCCTTTACAACATTGCAGTTTTTATAAACTAATTTATAAGATATAAATTGAAAAAAGTAGAATTAAATACAAAAAAATTTATCAACATAAAAAGGCACCATATATTCTTACACATTTACATAAATAGTAGAAAATATTTACATTTATAGGTAAAACATCTTCATCGTGATCTATGTCATCCTCATCTTCAATTATTGGTGGACTATTATTGCACCCTTCACCTGAGCACCCAGAACAGTAGAGTTACAGTATAAACCAACTTTTCTGCACCCACATGAAACACCGCATCCTTTTTTGCATTGCCAAAAAATAATTTTCAAAAGTTCATCGAGTGCAGGTTGTTTGTTCATGCGTACGGGTAATAACAAACCATCTTTGGAATACCATCCCCAATCTGTTGCTCTAATATTTTCATTGCCAAGCCATAGACATATGAGCAGATGTTTTATTCTGTTGTATGGGATTTCAAAATAAGAACGCTTAAAATTTCGAATGTATAACGCCCCACTAGCTAATATACCGGTTTTGTAGATTATTATGCTTTGAAATGTACTGTACTATGCTAATAGAATTTTCCGGAAAAAAATTCACTGGTTTTTTTTAACGTATTTCCTTTAATTTTTAACGATAGAGTGTTTCTTCAAAAACAATTTGTAGAGGTTTTTAAGAGCTACAAGAATCTGTGAATTAAATCTTTTTGGAACCCTTGGTTTTTAAATGGGGTGAGTTTAAAGGGCTCGAAAAAGATGGTGCTTGATCGTAAATCGATGCTTTAAACTGCTATATCTCGCCAAATATTCATTGTACAACAAATCTAAATGAAGGATAATTTTAGTCATTAAAAAAGCTACAATTTGGTAATTTGTATTTTTTTCATATATTCAGTATTTTCGGGCACATTTAAAAAAAGGGTAAAAAATATGAAATTGTAAATCGTTTCTCGCTTTAAGCTGTACTTTTTCTACCACGAAGCATTTTAAATGGGTTAAACTTCTTGGACGTATTAACAATACATGTACAAAGGGAATTTCAGAAGGGTAAAGATCGATTTTAATTATGGAGAAGGTTAGGGAGTTGTTTCGATTTTTTCATAAAAAATGAGGTATTGACCTTATTTTCATCATAACTCACTCAATTTTTGAGCTAGAGTCTTTTTATGATAGGTCTATTTATGCTCTTTAAAAAAGGTTTTGTGAGTTTTCTTCCAAAAATGCATCATTTTCCCGATATTTGATTTTGAATCTTTCAAATTTGGCATTTGAAGAAAACCGCTGAACATTGATAGGCCGTATTTCGGTTCCTATTATATCCCAAAAACATTTTAAAAAATGAATTGTATTTGTCTTTTTAAAAGCTACAAATTTGTTCTCTACAATTTTTTTGATAAAATGCACCATTTTCGAATTATTCATGAAAAATCGATTAAAAACGTGGATTTTTTCGTCTAAAAGTTATTACTTTCAATCGCGGATAACTTGAAAAATATTTTATATACCTTTTATAAAGGATTTTAACAAAATTTTTTTGTGATATATGGTATACAGCCAGCTACAGGAACTTAGTTTCCTCGTGGAATTGAAAAATATCATTTTATAAAAAAAATGTATAGCACATTTTTTGTTTAGAATCACTTTTTTAATCGAAACCTGTAGTTAAAACGTAAAAAAAATTTTCACCTCGGAGATGGGGTGGCAACCACCCCCTAGGCTTTGGCGTACTTTGGTTCGATATAGATTTTGATCCTTAGGCTATTACCTACCTTCTGTTAAATTTCAAGTCAATCCAGGGAGCACGAAAAAATTGCGAGCTGAAATGCTTCATTTCCTGGACTATAACTGGTTTGACAGCATAAATCGTAGATTTATGTGTAGCTTTTAATTTTTATGAGTTCAGAATCCAGCAGCCCGCTGAAGTATTGGATTTTTATAATATAATTATTTGACAATATTTTGTTGGCTAACCACTTACAGCAGAATTGAGCCGAAATACATTATATTTCTATGTTCCGAATTTATTTCGTTCAATCTGTATAATTAGACATAGAAGAGGAATTAGATATAAACATAATAGAGAAAATTGGGTGATGTCAGGAGAGAAGGATAATAATCAATCTAACTTACCTAAATAATAACAATATAACATACAGCGTTAGCATGGACACAGATGCAGTGACACTATCGAAAATAATGCAGAGAGGAAATGGTAATAAAATCCATGAAACTCCTGGACGGTATACAAGATTCACAATTTTTTATATTGAAATGAGGATGAATGCTCGAATAAATGAACTTTGAAAATAAGGCTATTATCGAGCACAAGTTAATTAAATCTAGCCCAAGTACTTTCGCTTAAAATAGCATCTTCAGGGGCATTTCGTCAAAATGTAAACTATCCGGCAAGCGTAGAATGTGGAAACATTAATAAAGACATAAAATTGTACAAAACACTACACTAAAACGAGGACAAACAGTTAAAAAAAAATTTGTCCTCGTTTTAGTGTAGTGTTTTGTACAATTTTATGTCTTTATTAATTTTTCCACATTCTACGCTTGCCGGATAGTTTACATTTTGATGAAATGCCCCTGAAGATGCTATTTTAAGCGAAAGTACTTGGGATAGATTTAATTAACTTGTGCTCGATAATAGCCTTATTTTCAAAGTTAATATTTTATATATTATTATAAGTTGCAAGAGAAGAAACGAGTATTATGTAAGATTTCTCTTTTAGATACTCAATTATTCATTATATCAGATTAATATTGGGTAAGAATTTCTGTCAGTACAACAATAGTCTCTCCCCCCCATTTTATAATAATGCTCTCTTACCGATTAAGACACAGATTTATTTAACGAACTTGTCACATTATTATTTAATAAGTAGACTAAAGAGTAAAGTTGTTTTGCATCTTTTTTGGTACGAGAATGATTATTTAAACTACACTACATTATTAACAAATAAAGCAAACAAGGCGTATAAACCAAATTATCAATAATTAAACTTAACAAATATACAAAGGCACACTAAAATAATTTATTCATTAATTAAAAGGAATCTACTTCAAAACAACAAAAAGTGGTACAGTAGGCGGTACTGTAGATCAGCGCGAAGCTTCATACTATATTTAAGTATTTTTAAATTTAAAAAAATTATGAAACATTTCAAAAATCAAAATAACAAATTATGGTTAGTTTTTACATTTTGTATACACCTAACGGCCACGTCCTCGTTAGGTACACAAATGGCCTCTTCCGCTGTGACTGTATAAATATGAAAATTTTTAAAATGTTTTACTAATTGTATTTATATGAAATTATGAAAATATGAATATCATTTGATAGTAAATTTAATTATTATATAAACTAAATAAGATGGTTAAACATAACAAGTTATATTAAAAAAAGTCTAACAGTAGGCGGTACTGAGAATAGCGCGAAGCTTCATACTATGTTTTGACGGTCGTTCCGTGACTTTCGCCTCAGCATTTTACTATAGAGAAAAAAAATAATACAACGCTAGTTTAGAAGCTTCGCTTCAAAAAAAATTTAAATTATGTAAGCATTAGGTTCACTGATTAGATAATAATTACTGATTTACTTTAAAATTAAATAAATTACGAAATTACGAGTCACGAAACGAAATTTTGCATCAATCTCTTACTTTTCAAACTGCGTTGGAACTATTCAAAATTTACTAAAACTAGTAATTCGTGTAGCTCGTGTATCCGCGGACTTGCAACCAATATGTATCTTCTGTTATCGTAGTTCCTTTCCCTTGCTCTCTCGCTCTCTCTCCCTCTCTCTCTCCCTTTCTCTCTCTCCCTCTCTCCCTTTCTCTCTCTCTCTCTCTCTCTCTCCCTCTCATCTCTTAATGTTACACTGAACGTAAAATGCCCTTTGTAAAATATATGATGATTTTCAATTAAAGAGTAAGAGAAAAAGCTTTTTGTTTTATAAAAATATTAGTTTATTAAATTAAACAATAACATAAAATCAAGAAAAACAGAATTTATATACATAATACATAATTATAAATATATATCAACACTATTTGTCTAAGGAGTGGTCTGTCCTTCAAATATTTTAGCATTTAAAGTTGATAGTAGGGATCACTACTATACATTTAAAGTTGATAGTAGTGATGGACTTTGGTGACTACCAAAATTCATACTCAATTTTCCATTGTTCTTGCGAATTATAAATCAACAGTCACTAAAAAAAAGAAATGTTAATTAATCCAAACATGAAAAACCAAACTTGACAATACAAAACTAAATAAATTGAATTAGCTTAATATAAGCTAAAACAATTTAATATCACCGAATGGTTTACCTTATTAATAAAATAATATTACAGCTTATCAAATAGACTTATTGTGTATTACGTAGGCATACAAGTCCGGAATCCAATGCATCACTAATACCAATACACTGCCCATAAATGCTTACATCTCTTAATAAGTTTATTTTTGGATATAATATCCTGGAATTCAGTAATCTACATTTAATGTAGCACTTGGAGAAATAACGTTTTATATTTTTTTATTTAAAACTATAATTTTTATAAATTTATTTTTTTTTTATAAAATAATATGAAAATTTAAAAAAAAAAACATTAATTTTTTGTACACTTTACAGCCCAAAAATAATATAGTATCCAGCTTAACGGCTAGAAGTTTATCAAAGCAAATGAAAGAAGAATTAAGAAACTGAACATGGGTAAGTTATTATTATTATTATTTTGTCTTTTATGTCTCGATTTTTTATATAAGAAGCGTCGTAATATCATTTTTGTCCGTTTTGTCTTACAGTAACAACTTTGTTGTTGCTGTAAGAGTTGCAAGTTGGACAAAAGTGGCGATAAAACGCATCCCTGTCTAACTTCTTTACAGTTTTTCATTTTGAAATATGGCACATTGGTTCCAATATGTTTTAATAATCTTTATGATTTTACTGTCAATGTGTTTATTCATAAGTATTGATATTAGTTTTTTATGTCTTACTCTATCACTTCAACAATGCACACGTGTAGGTCAACGCTTACGACTTCAAGGAATCATAATGTTAATGGCAAATAGTCCTTTTCCAGGGCCTCTTCCATTTCGGGACCCGAACTATGTATCACTAATCTCCTTTAACTTTTTATAGATTCTTTTATGTATTACTTTAAGCAGTACTTTTAAAGTATGACTCATGAAGCTCAGTGTTTGATACTGATAACTCAGACCAAAGCACTGTTGCTGCTTGTTTTTTAGGGATGGTTACTTCAGCCATTCTTGCGGTATTATTCCCGCAACGTACACCGTGTTGAACAAATTAGCCAATACTTCCAAGATATCCTCTTTCACTAGTTTTAAAAGTTCTACGGTATTTCGTCTAATCCAGCTTCCTTATTATCTTTAGTAAAATTTTTAACTCTAGTATCCCCTACATTTCACCTCTTTCATCTTTGAAAAGTTCTCTAACGTACTCCTCCCATCTTCTTAATTTCTTGGATATCAGTAGTACCCCTTTCTTGTCTTTTATGTGTCCTTGTTGACATTTTTGTGACCCAAGCCGGTAACTCTTATTTTTTTGTGCATATTTCTCATGCCATATTTTGTTTCTAGTTTATCTCTTTACATTGTTTCATCAAGTACTTTTCCTTTATACTTCCTTCTTCCTTCCATCTGTAGTAGTATTTCTTCTGTCGTCCATTGTTTTTTAGCCTCTCACCTGTGTTGCTATAATTATTTATTTTAATGATCAAAATGGTATCCATCAAGGTCCATACAATTATAAAGTCGTTGTTGAAATTACGAAGAACATTTTGGTACATTTCAGGGGTCACTAGACTAGATTAATGCACTATTAGTCGTCTTAGTTCTTCCAATGCAGCAAAAATAGTATTATAAACCTTGCTTTTTAAAAAGTCCGGGGGAGTTAATTCAGGGATATTGTTGGCCATTCAGTAAAACCTTCTGAATGGTTGAGAAGTAATTCATTCAGTTCTCCTCGCAAACTCTTAATTTTCAAAAAAAAAATAAAGTAATTTAAAAGCGTTCTGAGATAGAATTTTCAGCGAATTTAAAAGTTGTAATAACTGAACTTTTTGGAAATTTCGTTCACGGAAATAAATTTTCATTAACAATAGCAATACATAGGCGTTATGTTTAGTTTGTTTAAGTTTTTTAAAATCCAATGAATATTGCCAAATACCAAGGGGACTCTTTTGGGTGTCCAATTAAATATGTCGCTAAATTTAAAACTAATTATATTTATTTATTTCAGAAATATTCAACAATTCGACTGTGCCACTCACCCGATTATCAATATACCAAAAACTGAAAAAAGACTTCAGCGATATTACTTAAATGTTACTTTGTTTATTCAATTTTATTTATGTACATATTGTTTTATATTAATATATTGTGTTACTTATCTTCATTTACATTGTACTTACATAAGGATTTAAAAGTTACCACTAAGAAAAGTGTACTCCTTCTGCGTTGAACGCATGTAACAACCTGTAAATTTATAAAACTTGTTAATTATTGGTAATATATTTATTTACATATTTTGTTTGATTTTTTTAACAAATTTAACAAATTATCATATTTATTATTATTATTATTCTGTTTATGTTGACATGACTCTAGCTGTTTTCAATATGCCTCTAAAAGTTGTCGTTCAATCATTTCCGAGGTCTTCCTACTGATTGTCTTACTCTATTTGTTGTCATTCGGCTTATATGATCGTTCCATTCGACTCTTCTATTTCTTAGCCAGTCCTTGATATTCTCCACCTTGCATCTACGCCATCTCTGCTGATAACTGTTTTGTAAATTCTGCCTTTCATTTCTTTACCGATATTTTCATTTCTCAGGTCAGGTTCGTTAAAAATATTTCTGTGTCAACAATTTACCAGACAATTAAAGAGTGAGAAAATGGTATACCATGCGTTAATTTGCTCAAAAGTGGAAGACCAAGAGTTTTAACTCCTGCTCGAGAACAGAGATTAAATCAGAGTATGAAGAACCAATTAGGAAAGTCTTTGCGAAATGTTGGTCGAAGATATTATGTTTTACGAATGAGTATAAGTAGAACCATTTCTAAAAATGATTTAAAACGATATAAAAGAAAAAAGCTCCTAAGTACACACCAGCCCAGTTAAAAAAAATTATTAGATATTGCCGTGCATTGAGACGTATTCATGTTCCTGGTAAAAGTCTCATTATTAATGATGAAAAGTATTTTACTTTATCCAGTTCCGAAATGAGGGCAACGACGAATTTTATAAACGCAATGTACGCACCGGACGAAGTAAGTGAGAGCGCCCACCAAAGTGGCGTGCCAAGTGGCAAGTAGCAAGTAGCACGCGTGTAGCATGTAGCAAGTTACTTAAAATGTAACCAATGACAAAAAATGATTCAGTTCATACCAAAACGACAGTGACGTCATTCATTCTAATCATTCGTTTGGATTGGTTACATTTTAAGTAACATGCTAGACGCGTGCTACTTGCTATTTGCCACGCCACTTTGGTGGGCGCTCCCACTTAGGTTTAAGGAAAAAGTGAAATTTGCCGATAAAAGTTTGGTATAGTGTGCCATTTCAGGAGCTGGTGTTTCACAGCCGTTTGTTTGGCGTGTTCGCGGTGAAGCTCTCAATGCTGACAATTACTTTTATCAATTACAGGTGTCTTACAAAGTTTGTTCAATTTATAAATACTCATCACCCCAATGATGAAATCATATTTTGGCCCGACCTAGCGTCATGATATTACGCCAGGAGAACGACAGATTGGTTAACTGCTCAAAAAATAAATTTTGTTCCCAAGCGCGACAATCCTCCAAATGTGCCTCATGCGAGGCATATAGAAGAGTTTTGGGCTGTTTTGAGTCGAATGGTGTATAGTAATGTCTGAGAAGCCCAAAATGAAGATCAGCTAAGGCGAAGAATTTTGCAAAAATTTCGTGAGATCGACTTAGAAACAGTCCAAAGGCTTATTGCACAGACAAGACCAAATTTACGTGCCATCGAAAATCACGGACTTCTTTCTGTTCTATAAAAATACATTATAAACATTAAATATGTAGAGTTAATTTCCTGTATTTGGTTAATAAAATAAACTTAAGTTTATTTGTTATCACATTGGTTGTTAATTTTAGTGGTGTCTTTAATAAATTAATTCCTCTGTAATTTTCCGGGTCCGATTTGTCTGCCCAAATGCTGCTAGATACTTAATCTCCATTCGTGAGAAATTTGTTTGGTCAGAACTAGTCTTCCGTACTTTAGGAGTTTTCGGTATTCTGCACTCTCCTGCTGATTTTCTATTTTCTCTGCGTCCTTCTATTACTCCTCAATATTTAGTTGTTTCTTCTGTCCATGTTTCCTTCTGAATGTGTTTCGTTTTTATTAGTTCCTTCATCTCTTTACTTTGTCCTCTGATCATTCTCCAAAAGTTTTGAAAGTGTTCATTTTTATTTGTTTAACTAAACTATTCGTTTCATTTCTGATTCGTTTATAGTAGTTGTAGCCTGCTGTGCTCTGTATTGTAAAAAGACTTTCTTCTTTTCTTCACATTTTGTCTTCAATTCCTCTCTAACCATGGGGTTTCCCCCATGGCATCATCATATTTACTTGATCATATTTACTGAATAAGAAAGATATATGTAAACAAATTATATAAGGATATAAAAGTTCTTAATTGCTGTACAAATGTAAAACAAAGGGCAGGTTAAAGGAAAAATATAAAGAGCATAGAAATTAGAAAAGAGTGCCATCTCAGAACATTTTTATTTAATGACCTACAATCTAAATGAGAACAAAAAACTAATACTGGATACATACTACAAATGAAACTTTCAAATCCATAATTGTCGAAAACTTTCGCAAAGAATATTATAAATAATTTGCAGCATTATCCAAAAGACTACAATATGATGCTAACGAAAAAAAAACCAAAACTTACAAATTTTGGTATATGTTATACAGGATGAGTCATGAGGAACTGTACATACTTCTACCTCATATGGGAGCCCCTATGGGAATAACAAATGACCATTAAAGAGTGGATGTTCCCATTGTTTAATAATATAAAAGGTGAGTTGTGAATTTTAATTGAAATTTCTATTCGTCGTAACTTTTGTCTGGTAAGTTCGATGTGTCCCATATTTTGGTCAAACGTTATACTACTACCACCTAATCCACTGATTTATTCAAACCAGAAAAAATCAGATCCGCCTTTAAAAAATTAGTTCGTTTTTTCAGAACAAAAATTTCACCCTGTATACGCTTTTTGAAAACTAAAAAGAATTTTATAAATTGGACAAAAAGACAATTAAAATATCATATTTATTTTTTGCCTCACACGATTATATAATTTTAAATTAAAATAAAATTAAATTTGACTATAAATTAACACTTTAGCATTTTTTTAAAACAAAAATTTAATTTAACATTTAATAAGAAAACCGAACCTGATATAAAGTGAAAAAAATCAAGGTCTGGTTTTAAAAAATAATTCCGTTTTGCTCAAAGAAAAAATTTCACCCGGTATACGATTTTTAAAAACTCTAATAAGAATTTTATAAAGAAGACAAATGGGCAATTAAAATGACAATTTTTCCCCACAAGATAACCTCATTTTTAATTAAAAAATCAAATTTGACCATGAATTTAAAAGTTAAGCAAACTGAACCATAGATTGAAAAAGACATGATTAATACTATCACAGTTCGTCGTTCCTTACATTTTACATAATACAACCCTTTTGCCAATTTACAGAATTTCAGAAGGTAGTTACAAGATGTTTTGAATAATACTAAAGCATCATCCTGTATAATATTTGTTTAGTAATTCATCGTTAGTATCGTTTTATTGAAACCTCAGAATTCTAGTTTACTTTTTCTTAAAAGAAAAGGCTACATTTTATAATCAGCTTTTATTGTTGAGCTATTGAAAAATAAAATTTAAATTTAAAGTAACCTGCATTCAATTTGTGGTTCAGTTTGTTAAACTTTTAATTCATAGTCAAATTTGATTTTTTTAATAAAAATTAAGTATGCGTATTGTATATGCCTATAGGTCTAATTTATAAAATGCTTTATAAATTTTCAAAAACGTAATAAAAGGTAAACTTTTTTTAATGAGCAAAACAAATAAATTTTTTAAATCCAGATTTGATTTTTTTTGAATAATTTAGTCCGATTTGTTTGTTAAATATTAAATTAACAGTTTAAGAAAAATTTAATTTTTGCAAAAAAAGTTACATTCTTTATGCATATCTATGGTTTACTTTGCTAAACTTTTAATTCATAGTCAAATTTGATTTTTTAATTAAAAAGTCTAGGAAAAAATAGCATGCCATTTTAAATGCATATTTGTCGTAATTTATAAACTTTTAATTATTCATAGACACATTTATTATTTTTAATTAAAAATTAAGTAATCGTGTGAGGAACAAAATAAATATGGTTCTTTAATTGTCTATTTATCTAATTTATAAAACTCTATAGAGTTTTCAAAAACCGTATACAGGGTGAACTTTTGCTGTGAACAAATGAAATAATTTTTTAAAGCCGGGCCTGATTTTTTCTACTTTAAATAAATCAATTGCTTAGGTGCTATACCTTATTCCATTAAGCGATGCAGGGCATATAAACAACGATAAATTTAACAGATAATTGTTAAAGATGTTCCAAATGAGTTTACTCGTTCTGATAAGTAACAGTATAATTATGACACTTTATTATTTTTTTTTCTTTTCTCAAATATTCGTGTTTATTGCATAGCAAATAAATTAATGTTATCACTGAATACATAGTAAGTGAAAAAATAATCCGATTTATAAAATTAATGAATATTTTATGCATAAATGCAAGTAACAGTTCTTCAAAAATATTTAAAAACTAACCGAAATGTCCATCTTTATTTCGTCTGCCGACGTTTTCAGTAGCTCAAACCGGTTCGGACACGATTTAATGTTTACATCTTCCTGCATCGCTTAATGAATTTTACTATAGTAGTGTAACGATTGGCCAAAATATGAGACACGTCTAACTTACCGTTCAAAAGTTATGAAGAATAGAAATGCAGTCAAATTCACAACTCACCCTGTATATTATTATACAATAGGAGCTGACACATGATCATTTGTTATACCCCATAGGGGCCTTCGTACGAGGTAGGAGTGTGTAAAGTTCTTTATGACTCACCCTGTATCTTCTTAGGAAATATATACAGAGTGGCCCAAAAATCTGAAAACGTCCAATTATCTCGTAAATTGCTAGTTACAATTGTACAAAATTTGAGGTACACCTATTTTAAGATACGAGGATTCCATATTTGATATTTGCAATTTGCAATTTGCAATTTGCAAACCTTTGGTTTTTCAAATGCATCACCCTGTATATTCAGTCATTATTAGAATCTTCTATTCAATACGAGTTCAAATATATGTAACACTTGTGATTTTTTATAGTCTGGAAGGTCTTAAATACATAAAACAAAAGTCTGCCAACGCCTAATTGTTCAATAAATTTTTTGATACTAATTATTTTCAACTACATTAAAACGTAACAATTGATAGATTAGACCAATTAGACCGATAGAATGCGTCTATCACATTTCTCCATGATGGTCTAGAAACAATTCGAGATTCATCGATAATTCGTTGCCTTAGCTCTGCAAGATTTGCTGGTTAAGTTTTGTAAACTGAACTCAAGTATCCTAATAAAAATAATCTTTAGGATTGAAATCGGGTGAACGTGGAGGCCATTCAATTCAACCTTGTCTACCAATTTCGATAAAAAAATTTCCTTCGATAAAAAAATTACTCAATTGACTAAGTACCTACTATACCTGGTCATACATTTAATTTTTGTGGTCTGGTATGGTTTTCATGCATTCAGTGTGAATTTCATACGAGTTCAACTATTCAATACGGGTTCAAAAATATGTAACACTTATGATTGTGTGTAGTCTGGAAGGTGTTAAATACATAAAATAGTGCAAAATTTGTAGATTTTAATAAATTTAAATATTTAAATGCAGAATGCTGAGATATTGACATTTGTTCATGATTTACATTATAAACTAAAACTGACAGTAGTTGTGTTTCGAAAAGTTCTGCAATTTAAATTGCTTCTCTAAAATGCCGTTCTCTAAACCGTTTTCCTATTCATAAGGCGACGGTACAAAAAACTGTAAAGCGATTTGAGAAATCTGAAGAAGGTAAAGATAGATGGAAAGAGAAAAGTTTTGTTGAAGATCCACATACATCCTCAGGCAGGGTTGCACAAGTACATTATGTAGGTCGTTCTTCAGTCTTACGTATATTACGTAAAAATAAGTTTAAACCATACAAAATAAACTTATTGCAAGAATTAAGTGAAGATGACTTCGATCTTAGATTAGAGTTTACTGAGGTAATGATGGATAAAATTGAAAATTATTAAAATTTCGTTAACAGAATATGTTTTCCGATGAAGCAATCTTTACACTGTGTCGAAGTGTAAATCGACACAATTTAAGGTACTGGAGTGACGCAAATTCACACTGAATGCGTGAAAACCATACTCAAAGACCACAAAAATTAAATGTATCGTCAGGTATAGCAGGTACTCAGTCAATTGGGCCATTTTTTATCGAAAGAAATTTAACGTCAGATAGTTGGTGTAAATGTTCGGCGTTATTCAGATGAGATATTTTCCGGACGATAAATTGGTAGACAAGGTAGAATTGAATGGCCTTCACGTTCACCAGATTTCAATCATAAAGATTATTTTTATTAGGATACTTGAGTTCAGTTTACAAAACTTAACCAGCAAATCTTGCAGAGCCAAGGCAACGAATTATCGATGAATCTCGAATTGTTTCTAGACCATCATGGAGAAATGTGATAGACGCATTCTAACATCGATTACGGTACTGTCAACTCATAAATTGAGCACATTTTGAACACTTAATAACGTAACTATTGTTAAAAAATGTTCTAATCTATCAATTAATACGTTTTAATGTAGTTGAAAATAATTAGTATTAAAAAATTTATTGAAACAATTAGGCGTTGCCAGACTTGTGTTTTATGTATTTAGGACCTTTCAGACTACATAAAATCATAAGTGTTACATATGGTTGAACTCGTATTGAATAGGAGATTCCAATAATGACTAAATATACATGGTGATGCATTTAAAAAACCAAAGTTACTAATAATATAAGAGAAACGGAAAATCTGGCAACATTGCAAATATCAAATATGGAATCTCCGTATCCCAAAATAGGTGTACCTCAAATTTTGTACAATTATAACTAGCAATTTACGAGATAACTAGCCGTTTCTAGACTTTTGGGTCACTATGTATATTAAAGAATAAACAAAAAATGTAAAATAAACTCTCTATTTTACTATATCGGCCTTCTTTGTTTGACTTTTAACTTTATATTTTAAGAAGGGATACCGATCTGGTAGTGCAATAAAAATGAAAAAACCCTAAATACATTTTATAGCTGTAAATAATAGTGCAAATAGAAAAAATAATAACATTTTCGGAGGTCACATAAATATCTACTGTTCAAATAAAGCAAGTAAAAAATAAAATCGCAATTAAAAACATACAATATTTTATTAATAACTAATATTGTTGAGAAAATAATACTTACATTATAAAATCATCAATATCCATTGTTCTAGCTCTTTTTTGATCTGCTTCTACTTTCGTTAATATATCTTCAATTTTTTCTTTTATGCTAAAGTCTTCAGGTAATTCCTATAAAATAAATTAGTTAATAATATATAATAGTTTTATGTAACTACAGGAATTAATTGGACTCTACAGGGTGTCCCAAATTGGTATGTTTTGCAGGTTACACCAAAAACTTGAGAAAAACAGTAGTTAAGATGACATGACTTCTTCCTTCGTTAAAGTAACGGTTGCCCAATCAAATCAACAGTAGCTCCCCCATTAGCGAAAGACACGGCAATTATTAAAAAAAATTTAAAAACTTTATTAGATCTTTTGATAATCATATATGAAATGGGTCAGAGGCGCACAAAATTTTTTTAGGGGGCCTCACTAAGGAAATATACCAGTAATACCAACTTAAATTTTTTTATATGGGACACCCTACATATTTTGACATTTTTCATTAAAATTTTTAATTCTCTTTCACCTGATGTGACACACGATATATCTCTTTTCAGTCGTTGAAGCTAATCTTCAAATAAAATGTTCATAGTTTACGTCATGTTAAAGGCACTTAAAAATAAGACAGGGCATTATACAGTTTAGTTTTAGGGCATTATATTACAGTTATTGTTTGTTTGAATTTTTATATTGAAAACTAAGAGGTGAAATAATTTTTTATTAAAATGAATCGCGTAGGTACCGTAAAAAATCGGATTCTGAGTACACAAGCTCGTGAAATTATATACTCGGTTTTAAAATTTACGCAACAGGAAGCAGAAGCAGAAGGAAATTAAGTTATTAAAAGTTAAGTTATCGAAAGGTTAAGAAAGAGTATCTGCTTTGACATTTGACAGGTAAATTGATTGTATATTTATATTAAAATGTATGTGTATATATATTGAGATAATATTAAATATAGGAGAAACGAAGGTAATCTAGAATGAACTTAAATGGTGATTAAATAAATAATTTATACTAAGTTATATACTAGAATATTTTCTAGTATATGAAAAGTATTTATATGAGGGCATTCTTAAAAAATTAGCATAATAATAAGTTTAAAAAGTTTTTATTTTGCAATGTATTTAATTATATATATAATTAGGATATTATAAATATATTTGAGTGCGCCATCTAAATAGGCAACCAAATATACATTGAAAAACATTTGGTTGATTTATATATATATATATATATAAATATATATATATATATATATATATATATATATATATATATATATATATATAAGTTTACATTCTGATCTGAAAAAGCCTAAATTTTTATAAAATTCTCGATAGAAAAGTAAAGAATTATCTGGAACTTTAAAATAAGACGTCAATATAAAGAATTTAACCTATTTTCCTAGTAGAATATTCGCGAACATTCAAATATCTATGAAATAGAAGAATTCGAATATATTTTCTTTCAAGAATATTCGTGAACATTGAAATGATATAAATACTATGTGACTTGGAGGAGAAAGGACAGTATGCAATAGTCAATGGTCAGCATTAGAGTATTCATTATACAGTACAGTATTCTGTAGTCAGTAATGCAGTATTCAAGATAGTCAGTAATCAGTGATTCAGTAGTTGAAGTTTTATAGCATTGGGAAGTACATTAGATGAGGATTAAAAATTATATTATGTATATGGAGATTAGAAGAGATTAAAAATTATAATATTTATATGGTGATTGGAGATTAGAAGAAATTAAAAATTATAATATTTATATGGTGAATGGAGATTGGAAGAGAAAAAAAGATTATTAGAAAGAAGAAAAATATTTTAAAATGGTGGAAGCTGATAATTAAAACATTGCGGTGTATTTGGTAAAGCAATTTCACAAAAAGAAGGATCACCGAGGCTGATAACGAAGACATTGAGTGGTGATTAAAATCTTAATTTTGGAAAACAGTTTCATTTAGGCATTCAGTGACAGAAAGGTGCCAAATTTTGTTAATATAATTTAATCATTGTAATAAAAATTTCAATTTAAGATAGGTTGTTCTAAATTTATATTGTCTATATTAGATATATATGTGTGATAACCGCGATAAAAACCCTATATATATATATATATATATATATATATATATATATATATATTATATATATGTATATACCGGGTGGTGAATCGTCAAACGGACCATAGGAAACTCAATGAGAAATTTTAAATTGTTGAATTGCTGCTTCCCTAATTATTTTAGATCAAAAGTCATAAAAAACTATTTGTAGAGGACTAAAATCTGAATTAAAAACACATGTTAAAACCGTTCTACAAATCAACTGTACTTCAAAATTTTAAAAAAATGTGATACATTTTTCAGACCACCCCTAAAAGTTAGGCCACACGTAATGCAAGAATATATATTAGGATGTGTTTGTTTTATCATTATTAATGTCAGATGTTTGACAAATTATAAACAATGAATTTTACTAAATACTACTACTACTGAACATTATTTGGAATTTACGAAACATGAAGCACTCTGAGACTCATGTTTCGTAAATTCCATTATTAATTGCTATAATTATCATGATTAACTTCAGTTATTATTCAGATGTTCATTTTGTTTTGTTTGTTTGTTTTTTCTAAACCTATTTACTAAATACTATTTTCTTTTTATTTTTTGACATAATAAAACCTTTTTTTAAATTTCCCTCTCAATTCTAAGTTGGTAACATGGTTGGTAGTACCTAACATCACAAACGGCATTTTGTTAGACATCATTTTGAAAGTTTGTTTTTTGTAGTTACATCGAACTATTTAAACAACAATAGTTCCTCCTACTACCTCTTTCTGTTCGTGAGATGTGACTGAATTCAAACCTGCGAAGACGACTGTTTTTTGTCAAACATGTCGTCTTATTTTTTTACTTTTTAAACTTTGTAACATGTTCTTTAATTTTTAAGTATTTTAAAGTTTTTAAAATTTTTAATGCCTTCAATAATTCAGATCACATTATGTTATTTAACGTTGTGTTTTATATGCTATGAATCTTACTTTCTGGTAAGTTTTTATAACTTTTATATTACATCAGCCTAATGTTATAACACAGTAATTTTCATTGTAGACCTTGATAAAGGTGGCAAATAACCACCGAAAGCTCGGAATTCAGAATAAATAGTACGCCTTAGCAAAGCTCTATTTTTTATTGACTACCACACCCAAAAAGAAAAAAGTATTTACATATATTTTTTCCAAACTAGTCAAAAAACTTTGGACTACCTTGTCTTTATATATATATATATATATATATATATATATATATATATATATATATATATATATATATATATATATATATATATATATATATATATACATATATATATATATATATACATATATATATATATATATATATATATGTTATATGCATTGTACCAACCGATGTTCCTTATCACGACGATTCCCAGGGTATCAGGTTCCACTTCCAACAACCTGAGCCGATAAGGATCCTTGCAATTGCAGTACCAGCAGAGTCAGCGGGACCCAAGCTTTTTACACGTTCCCACTGAGTCAGCATTTAGTAATATTATAAAACCGCTTGTCGCTCTTAATTCAGTATTCAGTATATTTTTGTAGTTCATTCATTATATTTTATATTTCATTCATTTTTACCACGTAACTTGTATTTTGTAATAAATAAATTTTTTAAAAAGTCAAAAAAGTGTTTCGTGATATAAAAAGTGGCGCAGTCGCAGTAGGATCTGGAAACGTTGGCAGAACAAGGAGAACCTAACTGACAACGGTGGATTCCAATCCTTTAATCAGAAAAAGAACCAGAAAACTCCAAAAAACAGTGCCGCCCTAACTTTGCAGACATCTACGGAAGGAACACCAAGTGAAGCCCCTGGTAGATTAGCTGTCGAGAACAAGACGACTAGATGTTTTTGGAACTAATGTAAGTCTAATACTGAATCATCTCGTATATAATTTTTGTCTAATACCATTTATTACCTTAGACTGTTCGATATTCCAATATAAAATATTCATTTAATTAATAATTTTATGCCGAATTTGAATATTTTTTGATAACTACTTTAATAATTATAAACTTTTGGCGATTATTCTGTAAATCGTCAACTTTTTATTTTTATTTTATTAAACGTTTACCTGTGTCGATTATTCTGCTAATCACACACTGTCTTAGAAAAATACTTTTCCTATATTTTGACTTATTATTTTAATATTTACATTTTCGATTTATTATTTTGATATTTACATTTTGTTTTATTATTTGATATTTACATTTTGTTTTATTATTTGATATTTATATTTGATTAATTATTTTTAATTAATCCATTATCTTATATTTTTATTTCTATTTCGTTTATTGATTTATTAACCACCATGAATGATAACGGCAACGTTTCTCGTCCCGCTTCTCGTAATGAGAACCAGCCTGAAATAGAACCTTACAAATTATCCGAAATATTTTCTATCGTACCCGAATTTGAAGGCGATCAAATATTTTTACACACATTTTTAAATGCTTGTGATTATGCCTACAATATGTCTACGCGCGATCAAAAACAACTATTAGTAATTCACATTAAAAATAAATTACGCGGAAGAGCAGCGCAACTTATAAGTTCAAGAAATCCATTATCGTATCTAGAAATTAAACGGCTTCTTACCTCTCATTTTGGAGACACTAGAGACTTATCTTCTTTGATACAAGATTTACAAAGAGTCAAACAACTTCCAAATGAATCGGCTCTTACATTCCTTAATCGTGTCCAAGTCCTTAATGCAAAAATGCACGCCAATATACAGAAATCTAGCCTCTCTGCTCTAGAAAAACAGGCCCAAATTGTATTAATTGAATCAATGGCGCTCAATACATTATTGACCGGCCTCGATCCAAAAATCGCTCATATTATTCGTGCTAGTAATCCAAAAGACCTTCTTGAAGCTCAAGTCCGCATCAGACGAGAGTTACAATTATCCTATTTCGAAATACAAAAAATCAATAGATCCAATCCTCCAAAACCCAATCAAAATAATCAACCCATTAGAAGACCAAACCTTCAACCACATAGATGCACATTTTGTGGACGTATGGGCCA